CGCGTTGAGAAAAGTTTCCCCATTTGTTAGCTTTTCACGATTTTTCCCGTTTCACAGTGGCTATGTAGCCCCGTCGCCCCGCTCGACGGAAAATTTTGGGGTGAAAAACTGGAAAATGTGGGAAATTGGTAGGTAGGTGTTGGGGAAGGGGGGGGGTCGTACTGACACCACCATTTCACACATCACGATGCTGTACCCTCTTCACCAGAACGCAAGTGAACTTCTAATCGCAAGACTTCAACAAGAGAAAAAATGGTTGCGTAAGCGCTTGGCACTGATGTGTCCCTTTGAATGATTCTGGTGTCTAGTCGGAACTGGGCGCTGTTCTCCTCGGGAGGGGCATTTTGCACTTTCGCTAGTCCCTTTCGCTGGTTCATGTCAGTTAACTTTAGAAAAGGGCAGCGATCTCGTGTGAAGCTGGGAAATGATAAAAGTAATCCACTTTGATCACAAGGAGTCACAGGACTTCGCAAGGTGGCTTGTATATAGCTTCGCTGTGTATCATTTGGTGCCCTCACGGAGACGGGCAAGAGAATCGTAATTTGCCGCTCCGCCGCGCGCGGCGATGGGCGCGGCGTTTCTTAACTCGTGTTAACCTGTCGATTGGAGCACCGGACTTCATGTAGACCCGTCATCGTAGACATTCATGACTATTTTCGGTTCTGAATTGCCTGTTGTCGCCATCTACTACCTGGAACCATCGTCATTTGCGGGCGCGACGTCGCGCGACGCCCACCAGCGTGGCGCAATTACGATTCTCTTGTCACATACCCGCCCTCACCACACCGATCTGTGCTTAAAACTTGTTCTTCCACTGTTACAATTAGTCATAAGGCACTTGTTCCCCGATGAAAACTAGCACATCAATTCACAACGAATTTTTCTGATTCATTGGGGTGCAAATCGGAAGATTCACATTGCGGCGGCTCGACGACCAGCTGGTACTTTCCTGGGCTTTCCTGGCTAGTTGGCTCGACATGCTGTACTAGTTTCGCGTTGAATCGATTCCGCTGCTTATGCCTGAGCAAGTGCTCACTTGCAACGCCGCTTCAGCCGTGTTGCCGCAAAATGGATTTTCAAGGGGAGCCATGTCTAGCAGCTACCAGGACAAGCCGGACTATGGTAAGTCTTTCAGCGCGGTTACCACCACTACTGCCTCTGACACTGCCCTGTTCAGCCTAACAGCCCGATTTCTGTTAGCGTTTCACTCAAACCCCGAAGAAATTTCCCAACAGGTACGGAATTATCACGGGCAAGAAACGATTAGTGAGTGAGGCATGTTTACATAATACGCCTCGAGGCTACTATACATATCAATAGAACCTCGAGGCATACTATAAATAGAAAGGTCAAGTTAATATGTACAATACCTTCGCGGGAAATGAAAATCCTCAGCTGCGCTGGTTCTCCAGAGGGCTTGATCAATTTTCAGTTTGGAGTGAAATATGCGATGAATGAAAATAGGTAAGTTGGAGTCGAAGCTATTGCAAATATTTCAAGACTAGATAGAACTAAAGGGTCTTAATTCCAGGAGAAAGAACAGAATGAGCTGGAGTTCCGAAAAACTCAAGGAAACGTCATTCAGTACGGTACTACCGTACAATTATTACACGTGAAATCCGATAAGTATGTGACTGTACAGAAGAACTCGCCAGCAAAATGCGAGCGTAACGCCATGAAAGTGAGTGACTCCCCTGATTATTATCACGGACTCCTTCCTCTATAATTAATACTACTACTCGTGATTATTCCCAATCTTCACTTCAAGGGCAATTTTATTCAATATCGATTTTTCAGGTATATCTTGATCGAGCGGGAAATGAAGGCAGTTGGTTTATTATCGAACCAGCCTATAAACACTATGTTATTGGAGACAGCGTAAGTGACTTCATGGAAGTATTGCCCATATAAGAGGCACGAATGACTAGGGCACCCTACCATTCTCCTCATTGGCCCAACCCACTTTCATTAGCCACGCCCACCACTCTACCCAGGTGATCTCGTCCGATAACACCCTTGCTCGCCTCTGCTCGAGCGAACGCGCTTGTTAGGGAATTCTGGACGCTGTTCGGCGACGGCGGGAGGCATTTTGTACCTTCACTGCTCTACTAGTTCCGGTTAACAAGTTCAGCTCTGGGAAACCTGTGAACTCTTGTGAAGCTGAAGCAAGCTCGTCTAGCCACCATGATAGAACCCGTCAACTCTTGTCTCGCTCATGAAAGAGTTCTCTAGATGGCTCGGAGTGCAAAATGCCCCCCGTCGCCGAACTGCGCTGGAATTATGTTTGGAGCACTGGCGGCAGCCTTTTTTCTGTTCGTTATCCCTCGTTGACTTTCGTGGCATCTTGGCATCCCTGTTTGACCCCTACTACTCACAATACCTGAATGCGGGTTTGTTTTGAATTTTTTACGTCGATTTGTTGATTGCAGGTTGCTGCTGGTAACAAAATTTCCTTAGTACCATATTCTGTAAATAACCAGACGTCAGGCCACGTTAAACATCAACTTCATCTGAGTCATTTCCTACTGAAAGATCATCAAACTGCTGCTGAGGTAGGCTACCGTAATTTACCTGAGGGCGGAGCTAATTGAGAGCCAACCAATGGCATTTCAGGTAAATTGCCTCAACGAGTGTACAGAATGGCAGGTGTTCATGTTTTTGTTATTCAACGAGAATCAACCAGACATTGTGAAATCGGTGAGATATTTATGGGCCTATAATTACATTTTCTGGGAATGCCTGGCCTTCGTAGCACCTTTTTTTGGAATTGGCACCAGGTTCTTGATAGATATTGGTTTCTAGAAGTTGAGGTGGTGCAGTGGCAAGCGGCACGTTTACCGCGCGCGCACGGCCGGAGATCAAATCTCGGATGTGCTCCCACCCAGGACAACGAGGCCTTCTATAATACCTTCGATAGGCACTGTGAATTGGTACCAGATTCGGCTAGAAGGGTACGCTAACCTGTACATGTTCCCTGCAAGTCATTGTACAGGCCACATCGCATTCAATAATCCGCTACGGTTCTGAATGGGAGGAGAGTGCGTGGCGCATCCCGAAAAGGGGTTGATTAAAAGGAATGAAATTGGCGGAGCTTTATCCTTCACCCTTTTATCGGTCTCCAAGAGAAGGTTTGATCTGGCAGTATGCTCCTGGTAAACGTTCATTCCGTCTAGCACGGGTTCGGGCACCGTTCATTCCATAGAGGGATAGACCTTCCTCACCCACAGGGAACGTCCGGCCAAATCATGGTTCTCATCCATACTTCCAATAGTTATTCCTGTTAACGGGTAAGAAGTAACTGACAAGTCTTCTACTTTTGGTTCTTGGGCTATTGGATGGTATAAAAAGCCCTTGGGACCTGTTTGGTAGGAAAGGGCATTTTGCATTTTCGCTGGTTCCTCTAGCTAGTTCATGTTAGCTCACAGAAGTCACTATGGTAATACCTGTAAACTTCCGCGAATCTGGGTAATGGTAGGTGACTCACCTCTAATACAGGTCTTCACAAGGTGACCTGTAGAAGCTCCGCTAAGTACCATTTGGTGCTTCCGCTCCCCCCCCCCCCATCGAGCCGAACTGCCAACCACATGCCAGTCTGAATGGGATTTCGATTCTATAGGCACTGAGAATTAGCTTCTG